AAAACTCATGTGGAATTTACTGGGAAAGGGGGAAAGAGGAGGGATTGGTGGCAGCTGGTGAGTGGAAATGGAAAGAGGGGAACAGGCAGGAGGTGCTTGCTTACAAGGGAAAGCTTGCACATGCTTACAGAGTCCTTACACAGCCACGCAACACAGAGCCCTTTGAGCTGTCTAAGTGTCTGCCTGAATGCCAGAGTGCGTACCCCGCCAGTTGTCAAAGGGTGGGGGCAACATAATGCCAGGATATCAACAATACACTACAGTCTTGCTTTCCTGACTTGTTTTCTTCTGGCTCTTACTGTCTTCCCATCACATTTCCTTGATGTTCCATGTGCCATTGTGGTTGGAGGGTTGAGTTATATGTCCTACCCACAGTCACTTGCAGGGCAAGATATCTTACATGCGGGAAATAGCTGAATATTTGTTCAGAAAGTATAGACTATCATAGATTAACAAAAGTCACACATTCTGGTTATCTTTGATCTATGTCCAACATCCATTTATGAGTGACTACATACCATGTTTGCCTTTCTGTATCTGGGTTGCCTCACTCAGGATGGTTTCTTCTGATTTCATCCATTTGCCTGCGAATTTCAAGATTTCATTGTTTTTTTTTAAATTCGCTGAGTAGTACTCCATTGTGCAAATGTACCACATTTTCTCTATCCACTCTTCAGTTGAGGGACATCTAGGTTGCTTCCAGGTTCTGGCTATTACAAATAATACTGCTAGGAAATAAAGAAGACTCTAAGAGAGACATACATGGTCCCCCAGAGAGGGGGAAAGGGACAAGATCTCCTGAGCAAATTAGGAACATAGGGGGAGTAGGGAGGGAGGTAGGAGAAAGAAGAGGGGAGAAGGGGAGGTATGAGGAGAACATGTGGGATCAGGAAGATCAATTTGGGGGAAGAATAGAGAAGGAGAGCAAGAAAAGAGATACGTTAATGGAGAAAGCCATTAATAGGCTTAAAGAGAAACCTGGCACTAGGGAAACATCCAGGGATCCACGAGGATGACCTCCAACTAAGAATCTAAGCAATAAAGCAATAGTGGAGAGGCTACCTTAAATGCCCTTCCCCTATAAATGAGATTGAAGACAACCTTAAATGCTGTCTTAGAGCCTTCATTCAATAGCTTATGGAAGCAGAAACAGAGATTCACAGTCAAGCACTGAGCCAAACTCCTAGAATCCAGTTGTAGAAAAGGAGGAGTGATGAACAAAGGGGTCAAGACCATGCTGGGGAACCCCACAGAAACAGCTGACCTGAGCAAGTGGGGGTTCACAGACCCCAGTCTGACAGCTGGGGAACTAGCATAGAACTGAACCAGGCCCCCTGAATGTGGTGTCAGTCTATGGGACCTCTGACAGTGGAATTAGTATTTATTCTTAGTGCACTAATGGGCTTTGGGAGCCCATTCCCTATAGAGGGATGCTCTCTTAGACTAGACACACGTGGGAGGGCCTAGGTCCTGCCCCAAATGATGTGACAGAATTTGATGATCCCCCATGGGAGGCCTCACCCTCACTGGGGAGTGAATGGAGGTTGTTGGGGGGCAAGGGAGAAAGGGAGGGAGAAGGAATGGGATTGGTATATAACATAAGATTGTTTTTAATTTAAATAAAATTTTATTTTTTAAAAAGTTACAAATTCTTTATATCTTTTCTCATCAAGAAATGGGGTTCACTCTTTTTAAGTAGTGGTTGGTCCTGTAATGTGCTTCTACCAACACAGTGCTTCAGAAAACCAACCACTATGACTAGAAATCTTAGCATCTTTCTAGCAAAACAGGTCAGTTGGGTAGAGAGATCCTGGAGAGATAGATCCAGGACACAGCCAAGGCTACATACACAAAGAAATCCTGCCTTGAAACAAACAACCAAGAAATAAATATTGGTATTAAAAGTTGCTCTGAAAAAAATATGAAAATTAGTACCAGGAGTGGGGTTTGCTGCATTTCAAATTACTATGCCATATAATCTTTCTTTCTCTCTCTCTCTCTCTCTCTCTCTCTCTCTCTCTCTCTCTCTCTCTCTCTCTCTCTCTCTACCTCTCTCTCTCTTGCTCTCTCAATAGAGTTGCCTTTGTTGGGTTATTTATTTAGGATAGGAGATGGTATGAATAAATTATTCTTTTACCTCTTAAGTCACCAGATCAGATCAAGAGGGTGTCCTTGAGACTCCTCATCTGAATCTAGACCTAATGTAGATTACAAGACACTGGTTTGGTGTTACTGTGGTGATTGGACAATGCTTGGAATGCCTTGGAAAGGTGTGGTATAATTCAAGTGTTGTAGGTCTATTGATATTTAAGGTCATAGGAAACACTGTAGCTGATCTACAGATGGTTGCCATCAGTTCCTCCTGTTCCTAATTGTGCATACCAATTTTCTCATCAAAAAGGAGAACAGATTTCTCCATCCTCTTGACTCTGGGATGCCCTTGTGTCTCTCTGATGGACAGAACTCACAATATCATATGAGTTTTCAGAGCCTAGGCTTCCTGCTGTTTTGAAGTTACCAACTTTGCTTCCTTTGGACATGGTCACAATATAAGCAGATTGGAGCCCAAAACCTCAGTGACAAAGACCCTTATGAATGAGGTTTAACCAGCCTCCAGCCCTCCAGCCTATCCCAGATTATGTCCCAGGTTAGTGTGTGAGGCTACCTTGGGATTCCGATTTACCTTAGCCCGTTTTCTGTTGTGATAATGAAACACCTGAGCATGGTAACTTACAGAGGAAAGAATAATTCCTTGGTTCATGGTTCTGGAGGTTGGCAAATCCAAGATTATAGTGCTAGAATATGTTTGACTTCTGGCAAGTTTTTATGTTGTGTAGAGAGGATCAGATGCCTTTTTAAGACTCCCTTCTTTATAAAGTCACTAATGCTCCATGATCTAATCTAACCCTAATCATCTCCCAAAGGCTTTATCTCTAACTGCCATGGCATATGAACCAGGGGATTAGTTTTCAACAAAAAAGATTTGTGTGGGTGCATTTACATCATAGGACAATGTCAGCCAAAATGCCAACTAAATGGCCCTTGGTGACACTTCATGGAACAGAAGAGCTGACCAACTACCCAACCCAAGATCCATTAGAAATAATAAATGATGAGGCTGGTGAGACACCTTAGAGTAAATGCATTTGCTGAACAAAGTTAGTAGTTCACCATCAAAGCCCATGTGAAAACACCCAGTTGTGTCAAATGGTCCAGAATTTCTTGAGCCAGCTATCCTGATGAAGAATAACAGAGCAACTCCTTGAACAGGGCAGAAGGAGACTCACCTCTTGGATGTTGTCCTCTGATGTCCACATATGCACCAAGGCCAGTACATGTGTTTGCACACACATGAAGGAGGAGGAAGAGGAAGAGGAAAACCATTCACCTAGGAAAGAATTTTTCCTCTTGGGGTAGCTGAGATACATCCCAACATCTCTTTGGCTTGGGGTCATGTCTTTGAAAACATCTTCTAAGGAACCATCCTCAACTTTCAAGTTTTCAGTTTCTCCCATTTATCTTTTTCATACGTTGCAGTGGAGGAGAAGCAAGGAGACACAAACCTGCATTTGACACTCTCGTGTGCTCCAGAACAGAGCTGGAAAACCCCAGTCTGAGGCCTAGCCAGCAGTCTCCCCTCCCCACTGCTTGAACAGTTCATGAATGGTAACCACGAAACCTAATGTGTGCACTATCAGACTCTTGCAGAAAGGAATGCATCTGGACTCTCGCCTGGGAGCACAGCAGCCCTTGGCAGCTCCCGTCTTACACCTTCAGCTCCCATGCAGGTGGGAACAGCTCCTTGTCAGAGTGTAGTTGCTGAAGGACACAGTATCAAGGCCAAATAAACATGCAGTGCATCACGGGAAAATACGAGGTAAGGAAGCTTCTCTCCAGAGGAAGAGGGGAGCTGGAATACTCAGTTTTACTAATCTCCTAGATCTCTTTCTGCTGAGGCATCTCTGTGACTCTCCCTGGCACCTGCTGGCACCAGATGGCACATGGAGCCGTGGAGCAGAGTAGGCAGAGTTGCTCAGGGTCTGTTAAGCAGACGAGGCTGGCCAGCGAGCCCCGCAGAGAGCATGCCTGTCTCCGCCTCCCGTGCAGGGGTTACAAGTGCATGCAGCCACAACTGGCTTGTTCTCCCCCCCCCGTGTGTGCAGTGCATGTCTGTGGGTTTCCATCTGTGTAGCTACATGAGTGTGCACATCCATGTGGGGGAGTTTTCTTTAATGACTCTCCACCTTGTTCAACGAGGCAAGGTGTCTTAGCTAAGCTGGCTAGCTGGCTTGCTCCAGAGATCCCTGCCTCTTCCTTCTGAGTTCTGGGGGTCATAGACATCCATCTTCCATTCATAGTTTACTTTGAATTTTATTGATACATAGCAAATGTGCAATTTTCTGGGGCATGGGTGACACTTGGTATGCGTTGACCATCTGTAGCTGTCAGGAAGGGCGTGTGATATTTCCCTCTGTGGCGGTTTGAATTAAAGTCACCCTCCCCAGGACCTTATGTTTGAATGCTTGGTCCCCGGTTGGTGGAACTACTTGGGAAGGATTAGGAGGTGTGGCTTATTGTAGGAGGTGTGGCCTGGGGATTGGTTTCAAAGGCCACTAGGCATCGCCTGTGTGCTCTCTGCCTCGTGCTTGTGGTTCACGATGTGGGTTTTCAGTCGTTCCTTCCACCATACCTCCACCCCACCCTCATGAATTCTAACCCTCCGGAACCATGAGCCCGATTAAGTGCTTGTTTTTTAATAGAAGTTGCCTTGGTCATGGCATTTTATCACAGCAGTAGAAAAGCAAGTACTCTGTCCTCCTACACTCATCTCTTTGGGATGAAAATTAAAAATCCTCTCTTCTAATTTGAAAGCTACATCACAGTGGTTTGGCCACAGCCAGCCTGCTGTGAGATGCACACCAGGGGACTTTCCTTTGTCACCTCGTACCTAGCGACCACTCCCAGCCTGCTAGTCCACCCAACTCCAGTAGCCACTCTCCTTGCTGCTCCCAACAGGCTGACACCCACTGTGTGTTTGGACCACGTGTCCTTCGCCGTCCACAGACTGTGTCCTGGCACTCGTGGTTAATGCAGCCATGGGTGTGAGAATGCAGACATCCCCTCACACACTGATTTCTTCCTTTGCCGTGTTCTCACTGGTGGGTGGTCTCCTCATATGGTAGTTGCAGTTTTAAGTTTTTGAGAGGCCTCAGTGCTGTTTTCCATGTTGGCTGTACTTCTCAGCAGTGCTTAAGGGGTCCCCTTCGTCCCTTCATCTTTATTTTTCTTCTTTCTTCCCTGGGTTTCTCCAGATGTCTGGCTGAAAAGCCTAGTTCAGATACAGTGTGAGACATTCAAAGTTATCAGATGGAAATTGGGGGTGGGAGAGTTAGCTTTCAAAGGACAAGAGGAAAGGGCACAGACGAACCCAGCGATGGTCATCTTTTCTCTTTGTTGCCATCAAAGCTGCCACCTGTCACTCTGCTCCTCTCCTGTACCAGTACTCCTGAGCAGTGTGTGTGTGTGTGTGTGTGTGTGTGTGTGTGTGTGTGTGATTAGAAAGAATATCTTATACCAGAGGACATCTGTGTGCTTAACCTGCTGTCTGTTCCCCAGCAGCCAGGCTCCGCTGCCTGGGGATGTTCCCCGCCCCTCCCCTCACCCCCTTTGCTGTGTTCAGAAGTCCACAGCTCAGCACCTGCAACCTATCTGCTGCAGGCTCTTGTCCTCTCTTCCTAGAAACGAGCACAATGAAGTTGCTGAGCAAGCGGCGCGGGGATGCTCTGCTCTCTGGAAGTGCATTTGGGTTTAGCGCAAGGTATCTGCAGCTCTGTAAGCAGAAGCAGTGGCAGCTTTTATTTTCCACTGGACCGTGGATTTACAGGTATGTGTGACCATCATAAATGTCCCCAACCCCAAGCTTTAGCAATTTACACCCAAAGGCAAACTTTCTGATTCTCATCCTGTGTGCCTCTAATTTCTTGGACTGGTGGAGGAGGGGGTGTTTTTTGGATAGTACTTATTATTCTGTATTCACTGGCTAACTGGCAGGGACAGGTGTTCGGTTCAGTTCTGGGAGAGTGGGCAGACCTGGAGTGTGGCATCTGCATGGGCTGGTGGCCCAGCACCGCATCACCGGTGAGTGCTGCAGAGTTTACTGAGACTGTGTGTCTAGATGTGGCGGAGGGGCTCCTCCCCTTCAGATGAGAGAGACAAATGTTAGAACTTACTGCAAGGTGGCATTGGGCCCAGAGCAGGCAGTGCTCTGAGCATCCCGCTAAAGGGTGATAGTAGCAGTATCATGCTTGTGACTCTGCTGACTCAGACAATTGCCAAGAGCTGAGCCAGAACCCGGAACAGCCTCACTGACCCTCTCATTCCTCAAGTTCATGGCTGACTCTTCTGCATCCGGTTGCTGCTGAGGTCAGTACACAGGGAAGTCCCTTACCATGGAAATGAGGTAGCTCATCTCTCAGGTCTCCACCCTCCTCCCATCTCCCACTGTTTGTGGAAGAGAATCCCAACTTCTCGGGGCACCAGCTGGCTCACACCACAGGGCAGCTGGGGGAGTTCCTGCTGGCCTGTGACACACTATGTAAGTCACTTGGACCCTATAACCCACTACTTTCTCCACCCGGAACCTTTTCCCAGATACCCATGGCTCCTGCTGCCCACAAGTCACTTTGCCAGAGAGGCATCTCCAGCCACATCGATGGAATGTGGCCTCTACAGCTCCCTCTGTCCTCTCTCTCTGTGTAAGGCTCTCCTGCTACAGAGTGTGTACGTCACTGAAATGAGGTCACAGGTGTTCTTGCACCCCGAGGAAGCTGCCTGGAAAATAGGGGACACCCAGGAAGAGTTATTGGACATGAGCTGGAAGAAGGGCTCAACAGTTAAGAACACTTGCTGCTCTTTCAGAAGCAGAAGACCTGGGTTCAGTTCCCAGCAGCCCTTGTCAGGTGGCTTTCAACCGACTCCAATCTGAGGGGATCCAACACCTTCTTCCGGTCTCCTTGGGCACCAGGCACACATCTGGTACACAGACAGACATGCAGGCACTCACACATGACCACAAAATAAAAATGAATAAATCTTAAGAAAAGCAAGTTAAGAAACGGTTTGGTTAAACAGGTGAGCCTTTGAGATAAAAGGAGTCTCTCGGTAGAAATTGTGACCTGCATGACTCCGAGTTAGAAAGATTGTAAGCAGGGAGGGCCAGACTGAAAGGGTGTCTTCTGGACACGACAGGACCACGGCACGCGTGAGCTCACACTAGCTGTGGCCGCCCACACAAGATCAAGCACGTCAACACTCCAGCATGGAGGGGGTGAGGGATCTTGAGCCCCTACCCCTCGTTGAGTTAATGACAGTTAAGTTTCTTTCGTGTGTGTTGTGGGGGTCAGTTTTGTTTAAGAGTGTGGCTTCTTGCAGTTAGCTATGCTACTGTGGATGGCCGCACACCCGCGAGTTTATGGGCCTCACAAACAAGACTTGCTCCTGCTGCACACAAGTCATTTTGTTTGACTGCACACAAGTCATTTGAAAGAGAGAGAGAGTGTGTGAAGTTGGGAGGGAGTGGGAGGTGGCAGTGTGCATCTGGGAGCAGCAATTAGTGCTTGGGGTGGGGACGAATATGATCAAAATTTATTGTATGAAAGAATTAGCAAACACGTTGTGTTTGAAAAGGAAGAAAGGAACAATGTCTTGGTAGCTAGTGGGACATAGTGCTTTGGAGGGAAACACAGGCCCCCTCACAGGCTTTGACCTCCAGGCCTCAGGACAGGCAGGGGGGTGGCTGCCCCCACCACGGCTCACAGAGCCGCATCTGATACACCGTGTCCACCGCTGTGGAGTTTAATTTAGCCAATGTCTTGGCTGCAAGAGACAGCTGGTAAATTTAGTCGGGGGATTAGGGAACGTATAAGATGCGTAACTCCTTAAAAGGAACGGGGTGTCCAGGGAGCACCCCGGGGTTGGCCGTGAAAGGTGAGGCAGTATCCCTCTCGGTCCAGTCGGCAGGCCAAAGAGCAGGTTTGCTGAGTCTCCCGAGGGTTAGCATGTGGTGGCGCAGGGTGCTGGACACAGTCAGTGACTGAGCCAGCACCTGCCTCTAACCTGCTGACCAGGAGTCCTCCGCCACCAGGCTGCCTAGAAACCAGAAATACATCAGAGGGCCAGCTGCTGTGGGAAAATGAGGAAGTTCTGCAGGGGGGAGAAATAGGGGTGGCTGCCACAGGCATTGAAGTGGGTGGAAATAACACGCCTTCACCGAGTGTTGTGGAGAACTAACCAGCTTCACACCGAGCTCACAGAGGTGGAGACAGGCGATTTGGCCAAAAGAAGGCAGGAAAGGGCCCCAGGCCACAGACGGGAAGGTGGCAGGAGAGAGGACCAGGCAGAGAATGCTTTAGACTCTGCTCAGCCTCATCTCCTTCCAAAGAAGCGCAAAAACCAAGTCAGGACCTGAACTTGTCAGATTTAAAAAAATTTTTTAAGTGGCGACGGAAAGAGATAGTGAGAAGGAGAGGCCATCCCTTAAGGGGCAAAATTTGGTCACTTGTGTCTAATTAGAATGTGTGTGCCCTTTGACCTAACGACACTTGTCTATGCTTGCCCTAAGAATATCTTCCTTTTTTTCTTTCTTTTTCTTATTTTGGGACAGGGTCTTACTGTGTGACTTATGCTGCTTGAGCTCGCCATATAGCTGAGAACGACCCTGACCTCCGGGTCCTCCCGAGCCCCAGGGTGGCAAGTGTGTGCCTCCACACCCACGAATAAACTGAATACCTCCAGTTTCCGCCAGTGAAAGACTACATCACTCCCACAATGCCCCATGTCAGGCATCCTCTTTTGAAACAGGGAAAACCCAGACATGGTGTGACGGTCCTGAAGTCCCTGCGCTCAGAGGCCCAGGATGTCCTGGGATGCCTCAGGAGACACAAATTCATCACAGACTGACAAAGTGATAACGTCATATTACTAGGCACCTCAAGGCTTTTCTATTTCATTTGAATTCATTTATTTTGTTCAATTGCCCTGAAGTTCAAATTACACCCCCATACATTTTCTTTTTCATGGTTTTTAGTTTTCACTTCATTTTTTGTTTTATGTGGTTTTGTTTTGTTTGTTCTGTTTTTTTTCCCCTCTTTGCCAATAGAGGCTGGCCAGTGAGGCCCCCAGGGGATCTACCTGTCTCTGCCCCCTGCCCAGTACAACCACACCTGGCTTTTACACGGGTGTTGGGGTCCTGAACCCAGGTCCTCAGGTTATGCAGCACACGCTTTACCTACTGAGCTGTCTCCCGTCTTTCACTACCCTCTTCCACTTTTACAACATGGAAACAAGACCACAAGGGCTTAGCATTACACAAATGCCACAGCCCCTGCTTCTCTTGGCCTCCCATATAAAGCTCGGACTCCCCCGTGTGACTTTAGAAGGCCTTCCGGAACCTGCTCAAAGTAACCTGGTGCCCTCTCCTCCCTTGTTTCTCCTCTCCTGTTTTTATTTTCAAGGCTGCACAACATCTGTAGGCCCCGACTTTGAGCTGTGCCAACAGCCTGTTTGACCCACCACCGACCCGGGGCCTACCTGCCTCAGTGTGAGGCACACACCAGGCTCTGTAGAGCTTGGTCAGGCGTGCATCAGTGCCCCCAGGTACAGAAGGGAATGCTCTGAGCCACACTAGTGTCCCTGTTTGCTAATGCCACAGCTCTTTCTACGAGTCACATCCAGAACCCTTAAGCCCAACTGTGTGATCAGCAAGTGGTGTCCAGGGGCCTGCTGACTTGCCAGACATTAACCATCGAAATGCTGGAGAGGATCCTTGGGGACTGGGAGAAGTCTGTGTCAGAATGTCACCCAGAGGTGAGAGTACTTTTAACCAGCCAGAAAGTTCCTTCTCATTCCAGACTTCAGCCTCCTCCCTGTCCATGTTCCTATGCCCCACCCTGACCCAGTGCTGGTCACCTCCATCTCTAGCCTATTGCCTTTTGGAGGCTTTTATTTTGAAACTTTTGCAGGGTTCAGAAAATGTGTGACCCGTTTCTCCACCCGCCTCTCCCCTGAGAGTTTGTCCACAGGGCTTGGAAAGCTTCCCTCACCACATGGCACCGTGAACACCCATCTGGCCCCATGCTTTTGCCTAAAGATCTTTTGATCCCATGACCCCGAGCCCTTAGAATGGGGACACTGAGCTTGGAACCTAAACAAAGGTCAAGGCAAGGACGGAGGGCACAGGTCTGGAAGCATGGGGAGACTGAGGCAGGAGGATTGTAACCCAGGGTCTGCTTGTGTTAAAAAGACAAAGACCTTATCTTAGCAAAATTAAAGCTCAAAAAAGAAGGCTGTAGCTGTGAGGCTCCCTGACGTGTGAAGGGTCCAGCTGAATCTCTAATATGGTAATCAATACACAAACAGGCAAAACTCCAAAACCCCAGCAACAACGAGAAAGGACAGAAGAAGGCTTGCCAATGGTGACTCTACCAGACACTTCCAAAGCAGTTTGCGAACTGGGCCTGCCTTTGAGACAGCAGTCTAGTGACAATAAAAATACTTCAGTGCGCACCTATGGCTATGGATGCTTTGGAGGCTGAGGCAGGGGCATTATTTGAGCCCAGCAGCTCGAGGCTAGCTCAGGTAAGACTCTAGGGACCCTGCCATGAGTACCCAGGAGATAGATGGTGCCCTGAAATGAGAAGAAAGGAACTTGAGTCCCTTATGGCCCCTGTCCTCCCTGACTGCCTTAGTTACTATTCTATTGCTGTGGAAAGACACCATGACCAAGGAAACTTATAAAACAAAGCATTCAGTTAGGAGGTTCAGGGCTTCAGGGGGCAGTAGACTCCATGATCCCTGTGGTGGTTTGAATGAGAAGGCCCCATTTGAATGACTGGTCCTGAGCTGGTGGATTGGGAAGGATTAGGAGGTGTGGTCTTGCTGGAGGAGGTGTGTCACGGGGGGGGGCTCTAAGATTTCAAAATCTCACTCTAGACCCAGTCTTGCTGTCTTCCTTCCCTAGATAAGGTGTAAGCATTCAGTTACTGCTTCAGTGCCTGTCTGTCTGCCTGCCTGCCTGTCTGTCTGTCTGTCTGCCTGCCTGCCTGTCTGTCTGTCTTCCTGCCTGCCTGCCTGCCTGTCTGCCTGTCTGTCTGCCTGCCTGTCTTCCTGTCTGCCTGTCTGTCTGTCTGCCTGCCTGCCTGTCTTCCTGTCTGTCTGTCTGCCTGTCTGTCTGCCTGCCTGCCCCCTGCTGCCTGCCTGTCTGTCTGCCCGCCTGCCCCCTGCTGTCTGTCTGTCTGCCATGCTCCCCACCATGATGTTCACAGACCCACCCTCTGAAACAGTAATCGGCCCCTAATTAAATGCTCTCTTTTATAAGTTGCCTTGGCCGTGGTGTCTCTTCACAGCAATAGAACAGTAACTAAGAAGCCGTCGTGACTGGGCGCATGGCAGCAAGCGGGCAGGCGTGGTGCGGAGCGAGGGCTGAGAGCTCAGACGTTAAAACAACAACCGTGAGACAGAGAAGGAAAGAGTAGGATTAAAGAGTCAAAGCAACAATTGATTTATGGAAGAACTAAAGTTGCTCAGGAGGGGATAATACCTCAACCCACACAGTGATACTTAATAACTAATTTATGTGGTCATGCAAATGAACATGGGACCATTGTTGTAACCAAAAGTCATGATGTAAACATCTCAGTGGGGAAAGGGAAGGCGGGAATTAGGTTTGGGAGAGCACTGGATTCCCATTTACAGAAAGAGGAGAATAAACAGATAAATAATAAATAAAATGACAGTGTCGGTCTCCGTTTGGAAACAACCGTGTAGAGGAACAAACAGTGAAACCCACAGAGGAATGCAGGGAACTCCTTCCCCACAAGAGTCTGGGTCTCCCTCAGACTTTGTTTCCTTTTCTTCTTGCTTAATTAGCCTTCACACCAGGGGAGCCAGGAGCACATTAGGGGTGTGGCCCACTGCCCTGTTGCTAAGAGAGCACTTTCCCTGTTACTACTCTGGAGTCATCCCCTTATGCTGCTGTAGCCAGGTTTTACAATGGAAGGAGGCTGGCTTTCTTTGGGTGTGGGAAGGGAAGAGGGAGCTTTTCGGTGAGCTCTATGTTGTTGTAAATCCAACTCCTGCATTCCTGTCGCAGACACTGATAAACCAGTGGAAAGGAACCACAGGGGCAGAGGCAGAGGTGCAGGCTGGGGAGGAAGCTGAAGGGAGCACACGGCTATGGGGAGAGGGGACCAGGAAGAGTCAGAATCACTTGACCATTTTCTAAAGACGAGCATTATGTGCGTTTGTTGGACGTGCGTCTATGTGTGCGCACATGCCAATGTGTGCGCACATGCCACAGCTTGCGGATGGAGGTCAGAGGGCAAACTGAGGGAGTCCGTTCCCTCCTTCCACCACACGGGTCCTGCAAATCCAGCTCAGGCCACCAGGCCTTGAAGCAGGTCTTCTAAGCCACCTAACCAGTCCTTTCTGTTGCCGGAGTTTGGTAGTCACTGCCTTCTACCTTTTCATCCGACTTAACAACTTCGTTTTTTTCAGGCAGGGTCTCATGTAGCCCCACCTGGCCTGAATTCTTGATCCTCCTGCCTCTACTTCCTGAGGTTACAGGTAAGGCTGTCAGAGTTCTTTGTGCAACTCAGAATGTAGCTAAGCGGGAGCTACCTCTAGCTTCCTCCAACACTAAGCTGAGGCTATGGTCTAAACCCTGTAGACCCCTGCCCTGCCTGCCGCAGCTGCCTGTCTGATGTCCCGACCCCTGCCTTTTATAAACATATTGATTTATGACTTTCTTTCCTGTGACTGTCAAAGCCCATGCGACCTTCTCCACTCAGAACATGTCATTCAGGGTAACTCGGATCTGTGTTCCCCTGCCACAGTCACTCATCTTTGACTGAGAATAAATTATTAGCTTATTTCCTTAGGGCAGAGTTGGTGACTTTCCGTACACAGCGTGGGGCACTCGGGGCTTGCTCTGGGAGGGGAAGGGAGGGAAGCCCAATTGAGACTAGAGCCTGCCTGAGCTAGAACATGGTTCTTCCCACTCCCGGAGAGGCTGGGGGGAGGAAGCATAAGGGGCAGTAGGATTTGGGGGCCAGTGTGGACGGGAGGCCTGGGACAGGAAGGCCCTGAGGGGCAGCCCTTGACATAAAACACAGATGGAGGACAGCAGTGTGATCCGGGTCAGGGCTGGAGGGCCCTAAAGGAGGCCAGGTGCACTCCTAACAGACTGCATAAGAGGGGAAGGGAGGAGCCAAGGTGATGCCTGGTGAGCAGGGAATTCGTGAGGGGAGGTGCTATTTAGAAAGAGAAGGCTGCAGGAGCGGGGGGGGGCGCGACGATGGACGGACGACTGGGACAGGAGAAGGGACAGTGACACATGAATCTGGCTCAGGGAGAGACTGCACACCTGTGGGAGATGACACACACATATACCCAGGGAGAGCAAGTGGCAGCCAAGAAAGGGTTGTAGAGAGCCCTGGGAAGCAGCCCCAGACGCGGGGCAAGGGGGCGGTTTAGGCAGGGCCAAAGCTGTGCTCCCAACAGAGAGCTTAGTTGGACAGGGGCTTTAGGGACAGTGGGTCACTGGTGAAAGTAGCTTACCCTCGGACAAGGGGCTGGGAGGCCAGTAAAGACAAGTGTAGCCCTTGTGATCGGAGGATCAGGTATAAACTGGGAACACAGTTTCAGGAGGTGGGGGGTTGGCTAGGGAGAGGCATGGTGGTCCAGCAGTTACAGTGTGGGCCCGATAAGAGACAGCTTTTCTCTGATGACCCAGGGT